CAAAAAGGGAGGGAGTGCATTTAGCATTAAGTCCCGAGCTTGGGACTGGGCTATAGGGTGCATTTATATAGGGTGTGTACTTATAGAGGGTGCATTTATAGAGAGTTGACTGTAGTAACTTTGGCTTCTTCATTGACTATCTGTTCCATTACTTCTCGTGTAATAGGATTTTTATTTTCGTAAGCACGCTGTTTAATAAAAAATGTCAATTATAATATGCGAAATATTCAAAATTTAGAGTATTGCAAATATATTTACCAGAAATGCATTAACCCATTTTACGACTGACTTGTCGTTATATTTTATTCCAGGACTTTTGGAATTTAATAGATGTCACAGATAGTGATAATATAAGCACAATACATCGTTGGGAGTTCCTTGTCTTTATACTGCTTAAAAACAGTATCCCCAATTTTCACAAGTAATTCATCATCAGTAAAAAGCGCATCATAAGCAGCTTGTGTTTTTTCACTTAACTTCTATTCAGTGATCTTAATTGTTGGTGTATTGTTATTGATGTGATCTAACCGTTCGCCATAGATGAAAAATATCGCATGACGGATGCTTGCTGCAATGTCATTTTATTTACTATGACATTTGGCTTTAATCTAAAAACAAAATAAATAATGAAATTATTAAAGATCTCTTTAAAGTTTTGATATTTCAACTTACTTCCGGTAACAACTTTTCTTTGAACATAGAAATCCAGCTATTTCTACCTATACTTTCAATAAAATGGTCGGCATGTTCAGAAAGAAAGTCTTCTAATGCCTTGCAAAATTTGTTAGCTAAAGGGAATAATATGATAGGTAGTAGCTTCCTAACTGCTTTCTTATATGCACATTACAAAATAATAGAATATCAATAGAAGTCAAGATGAAACAGCAAGATGTGTTAACTTACACTCTAAAAATCATCAGAAAGCTCATCAAGTGCGACAAGCTTATTTAAGCTTTGGTGTTCTCTTTTTATCATTCACTTATATATTTGTAAAGTTTATATAATACGTTAATTTTTGAATCGATTAAATTCATTGTATAATTGAATTCTTCTTTTGTAAGGTAAGCTTTGGACATATTTTTATTTATAGAAGATTGTGAAACTGGTTCCTGTGAAGAAATCACAACATTGGTTACTATTGATTCACGTCAATTGTTATCATCAGACGTTCTATAATATTCATCATTGTCCTGAAAATCATCGACTTTATCTATATCCATAGGTGCTAGTTCGAATGATTTTTTACGCAAAGTTTTCTAATTCTTTTTTATATCTGTAGACATTAGTTCAAGTGATTTTTTATGCAAAACTCCTTGATCTTTTTCTAAATTAAAAGGTACTACTAGCTCAAATGATTTTTTGCGCGAGTTTACTTAGTTATTTTCTACATTAACAGACGGACTTTCTTGATCATTTTCTACATCAACATGCAGGTTTCCTTGATCATTTTTTACATTATCGGTTGATGATCTGGCTGTTGTTGATTCTTTTTAAAATTTTTAAAAAAAATCAAAATATTATTATAAATATATATGTTGGTATGTATATAA